GGGCTGAATTCTAACAGGTATCACAAGTTCCATGTTCCATATGCTAGGAGCAATGCCTTGAGCTAGAGCACGTTACAATTTGCTTGCTTTTCCTCTTGCTTTTCCTCCTGTCTTTTTTTTTTAAGACAGAAAACCCCCTAAATGTTGTTCAAAACCTTCAAAAGAAAGGGATTTAAAGTACTGCTTTGTGAAACATTCACGTATTTAATTTGTAAGCATTCTAGATTTGCCAAACTGCTGAATAGATATTCTGTGCTCTAGCAGTGATTAAGAACATAGCTACGTCAATGGCATTTTGTGTTTTGTTTTGGTTTTTTTTTTTTTTCTGGTCCGGATGCCAATGAACAGCATGCATCTTCCTCGCAACAAGCTGTTGCAAGATTTTTGCCTCCAGAGAAGCCAAGAGGGAAATATTGATAGATGTGTTAAAATAATCTTTCTAGACAGGGGGATCATATCCACTTTACAAGGATATAATCCCCTTCCTTGTTTTGCACTTATTTCAGGGTATCTGTAAAACTTCAACAAAAAACATAGTATTACAAATTCACTTTCAGAAGGTAGTTTTCTCTTCCTCAAATGATGTTTGGAGAGAGCCCATGCTGTGTAACATACCCGTAGCGGTGGTCAATGGAGTAAGCATGTGGAATACCTCGATTTCAAGCAAAACGTTTTTCCAAATTCTTGTTTTAAACAAGATCTGTCTGATCAGTTTGTCTAACTGCAGCCACTTCTGCAAACAGTTCAACTCTTAGGCTTCTTCTTTCATAAGGCATGAAAGAAAGCATCACTCCTATTCAGATTTTTGCATTAAAATGTCCTTTTGGACTATTGCTCTTCTTCTCTTTTACCCTTCTCTCAGCATTTTCGTCACTCTAGTCTCTCCACACATTGACTAACACGCACACCAAGGCAAGATCTCCCATTGCAGCCCTCTCTGGGCATCTCATTCCCCTCTCACTCCTTTCCTGCCAGGAGTGCTGGCTGTAATGCTGCAATTCTGAGAGGTCCTGAATTTCAAGCTGGCTAGCTGATCGATAAAGGAGGGGAAGATCTCCAGGTTTGGAGAGAGTAAAGTCAATCACTGAAAGGAGCACATCCACTGACGCATTTAATTATCAAAATTAACATTTTGGGGTCTTTTTAATCAGAGGAGGGTGCTGACCACTGGTTAGTATGAATAAAGACAACTGGCAATAGCACTCCTAAGTGAGAAATCCACACATGGATTTCTTCCTGAAAAGCAAAACTCCAGCTGTATCCAAGCCCCTTGGTGAAAGAAGACATCAATACAATTGTAATAAAAGCAACAATGCAACTGACGCTTAACAGAGTGAAGGTAAGCTTGTTTGTTCAGACAGTAAATGTAACGTATTAAAAGCGCAAGTCAAAATACTGATCTATGCGAAAAAAGAAAACTTTTACATATTCCTAAAGATAGCATTTGCTATTCATTATTCATACACTGTACCCTTCTAACAGATAAAAATTGCTGCAGAGGTTTAAAAATAATAGAATCTATTAACTCATACAAAATCTGCTTGTCCATCATGGGTTAAGGGATTCCTGGCCTATCAGCAATCTTCCACAGAACTCTTAATATTAAAAATGTTTGCTGCTTACACCGCAAGGGAGAAAGAGCTGACAAAAGCCTTTGGCCAGTGAAATCAAAATTAGGGTTGGGGGGGGGAAAAGGGGAGTTTAGCTTATTTACATTTTTGCTTTGTTAGTAAACTGGAATGGCTGGAGCAGAGGGGAAAGAAAAAGAAAAAAAGAGAGACAAAAGTGAAATTAACAGCCACTAAATCTTCTGGCAAGAGCAGCGCGCTTCGGTGATGTGCTGTGTCAGCTTCCACTAATGGTTTAGGGTTGAATCAGACACAGTTCAAGACCCAAAGCAGTGCAGGGCGTCACATCTCATTCTCTGGAAGAACACGTACCCTAATTACGAAGATGGCTACAAAATAAAGAGATCAGGATTTCTGGCAAAGCGGAATAATGATCTGCTTAAGAGGAAATCAGAATGCCATTCTGAATCCCTAAAAATTATACAAGAGTACGATTTCAGTCCTGTAATGAACGTGTGTCTGAATGAGAGGCGTTATCATTTTGAGAGAAAAGCATCCTTCTGAACAAAACCAGTCAAAGTTGCTTTTTCTGCTCCTAGGGGTTACTCCCCCTGGTCTATCCCAGTAACGTGACTGGAAACAAAGGCTGTGTATGTGTGTGCCACTTACCACACAAAATATCCGTCCAGTATTTCAGAGAGCACAGGAAGGAAATACCCACTGAGCTTGGGACGTGCCAATGTCAGTGCTGCCTGTGCCAGTCTGTTCCCGTGAAATTCGCGGCGTGCGGCAGAAAGCAACGCGGGGCAGCAGGCTTACGGCGGGGTGGGAACACAGCTTAAACAGGCAGGGGAAGAGAATCAGCCATTTGGGAGCTTTAAGAGGGGGCTGTTTGTTTGTCTGCCCTTTTGGTGTTAAATTAGTCCTCAATTTTGTTGGGAGGAAGGAGGCATTGGGAAAAGGATGCTTCTCTTCCAGTAAACCCTGGGAAAGCAACACCTTTATTTTAACGGCCTTCCCACCAAGAACCCCCTGTAACATTTTGGCTTTCCCTTGCCATAGCTATCAGCAACACAACAGCTGCTCATTTTACAATGACTTGCTGGAGAGAGAATGATTGAAAGAGCCAATCTATGTCACATGGAGAAGCTGTGGCACAACATTGCAGGAGGTAATAGGAGAGGAATGAGGTCAGAACAAACAAGGGTAGGGTGAGAACGGAGAGGAAAATAGCAGCGAACGAAATTACTGAAGGCGAGACGCTGCACTACACAATCTGTGCTTAAAAACGGCCACAACCCCACCGCCTTTTTTTTGCTGCCACCAGCCACAGAAATGCATACAAGCTCTGTATGACTTTGCCACAGGGTCTCGTGGATACAGCTGATGAAAAAAGCTACCCAAGTCCTGGTAATGAAGCAGAACGGTGGGAACACACTTAGGTGAAAGCACGGTCTAATTCAAATGGCCTGAAAGCCCCAGTACCCGGCAGTGTCCTGCTAGTCGCAGGGTTTTAAATCGCAGCCTTGCTCGTGTCGTTTCATAGCCAGCAAAAGGCAGCAGCGGCAGCGCTACCGCAGCCGCCCGGCTCCCCAGCGGAGCGCGCCGCATCAGCCTGCGCCTGGCAGCGCACCCTCAGCCAAAGAGCTGCGGAGAGCAGGAGCGCTCCCCGTGCCGGGGAAACAGCGGCAGGGGGTTTTCTTTTAGCGCCGTTCACAAAAATCCTTCCTGAGGAAGAGCTGCTTTTGTGTTACCGCAGCAGACCAGAAAACCACATGCAAAATGGTGGCAGGGTTTGTATGAAGAGGGAAGTACTTTTTGCTAGGCCAGTCACACCAACGAGCTTTTGGGCTCAGCTGACGTGATGAAGAGACTCTGACCCTGACCTTTGGGCTCACATCCCTTCTATTTTTACCCCACAGGGATCAACTGCTTTCATAAAAGTTATTACTTTCCCCTACACACTGTCCTGTTCCCATCCTTATCTATCATGGCTACAGTAAGGCTATTTTCAACATCACAGCGTTCTCTCCCTATTCAGCAATCAGGTTGCTACAATGCCAATCCATTTACTTGCCTGAATCTGACTGGGAAAATGTCACATTTCCAGCTAGGTGGGCTATCTGCCTTTGCTCAACAACAGGGATGGGCCGCTACGCCGCGTGCTGGGAAACACACTGCCAATACAAAGCCACCGTACTGCCCGCAATGCAAATACTCCGGTCCTGCTGCTGTCCCAGCGATTCCTGCCCCACTTGAGCACGTGCTGCCGGTCAGAGCAGCTGGAGGGGGAAGAAATAACTGCAGGGCACGCATGCAGCATCAGGGCTTGACATGCTCAGGCCACATTTAGTGTGCATCGCTCCTGCGTGCGCTGAGCTTAGTCCCCTCTGCTTATCTAGTTTAACCTCTGTACCTGAACAGGCATGGGCATTTTACACAGATAGCTTTGTACTGAATACCAAAACACACGCTCATCACTGAATTTTAACCTGCATTTGGTTGACAGCACATCTAATGAAAAGGCATCACTGCTTTTCTTTCTTTTAAGAGAGCTCCATGTTGATTTTCTCATGGTTTTGTCAGTAACCGATGTTACCCCTGGGGTAATATCAGCACTCTCCTACTCTTAGGAACTCCCTTGGTATTCAAAATGTTGGAAAATAACCAAAACCTGGAGCATCAGAAAGAGAATGAATGAATCTGAAATACCAAATCCACATTGCTGCCTGACCCCCTGCAAGTAACATGCCAGCTGGGTGGGGACAAGGCAAGAACTGGAATTGATGCAGGCCTACTTTTTCCTTCTGGATTATTTTAACAGATTTCCACAAATTTCTGAATGTACATGAATGACTACGTGTCATACTCTACGTGGCACAAGAAAGGGAGCACCAAGCATGCCACTGGCATTTCAATTATTACTGGTGGGGCTGGATCCTAGTAACTTGTTGACCTTTGCAAATATTAAGAAATATCTCATACAACATTCTGTACTCATGTGCCACATTACGTTATCACAGGGTTGGAAAACCTCTGCCTCATCCTGTGGGTCTGAAACCACCATACAAGTCCAAGAGCCAAAGCCAACAAAAACATAGATTAAAAAATGGGACCCTGTGGATAATAGAGAGAGAAATATGTGACAGATAGATGACACATGAATCAAATAAAAAAATATGATCAAGTATTTCCATGGTTGATGATAAAGACATTTATCAAACACATATGTGGAGTCAAGTTCAGACTCTGAGGGCTTGGCAGCTGAAGCTTAGATGGAATTTATCCCGGCTTTAGCGTACGCATTTTTTTCAGAAAAAGACCCCGGAAATGCAGCATTCCCAGTAAATAAATGAATTTGCAATACACTGATGTTTATTTATTTAATAAACCCATCTATTGGTTTAACATTGTTTGCTGGAACAAACTTACCCGGAATACTCGCTGGAGAAATGGGGCCAGATCTCGACTGGTTGCTTCCAACGGGAGAGCCTACGGGGGAAGGCGATGGGCCCCCAGGGATGCCAGAGAGATGTGGAGAAGCATGAGGGGAGAACGGAGACTGTGCAGGGTTGCTCTGCTCCCCTTGGCTGCTCGTAGAGCCTGATGCGCTAACGGCTGAGCTCAGGGTTGCTTCGGTTCCAGTCGGCAAGTCATCAATGGATCCAGATAAATCCTGAGGAATAAGGAAAAAAGAATGTAAGTAGCCGTATGAACTCACACTCAGGCCACAGGACTTGAGAGCTGGCACGGCAACGAGGTCCATTTGTTTCCTTATAGCAGCAGATAACTGAGAGGTTGTCTTTAACGTCGGTTCATGTCGTTAAATGATGGCAGAAAATGAGGCTAGTATGTACAATTCTCCACTTAATCTCTAATTCTTGAGAGAAAAAGAACAAGCAAGGGCAACAAATGAATTGGAACCAAATTCACTCAACATTGAATTTAACCTTTTCCATCTGGATTAAGCTTTCAAAATTAATCCCACAAATTCTGCCTGAGCATACTGAAGCTAATGAAAATGATACATCAGTTTCACTTTCACACAGTATTTCATTTTGGGGTTTGCTACTGTTACGATCACAGTTTATACACTTCACTCTTTAAACCACCACCAAAGGAGGGAAGAAGGGTGTAAAACAGGCAGCCCTTCTAACGCCCGCGCGTGGCTCCTTCACCCTGCAGGGGAGATGGAAGCAGAGGCTCTGCCCTCAGCAGCAGCACGGGATCTGCTGGCCACCCCGGATCAAGGAAGGCTGCTCCTCTGTTTCCAACAAACACCAGCATACAGCTCAGTGTCTCTTCAATTTCATTTGAATGCACGGCTCAACAGTTGCTCTGTTTCAGTTCATAACTGCTGCATTTTCAACCAAAAATTTCCTCCGTAAGTCAAAGAACATCTGAATTCTAACCATGAATTGTTGGGCACGTGAGTTACACTGGCCCCTGGATCTGTGGGAGTAATTTGAGTTTTTTAAATCACTGTAAAATCAGCTATGAAAACCCATGAATGTGCCACAGAGCAAGTGCAGTCCCTTCACTGTCAGGAAAAACGTTAGTTCCTAAGCATCTCAGAGAGGTCTCACACAAACCGAACGGCGCAGACAGGCGTGCTTCCGTGACTACCGCCACGGCACGAGCTCGGGAGCACGTTACTACTTCTATTAGCGAATTAAGGCACAAACATGAGGCTCAGAGCTACCTCACATATAAAAGAGGTCATCAAATGACCTTGGAGGCTTCCAATAACTGGGATGACAGCGTGTTACTTCGGCTCATACTGACTTCACCTGTCAGGCTCACGCAAGTGGTTGCGCCGTAGACAACGGGCCCTGTCATTCGAGCAGCACAAAAAGAACTGGGCCCTGCTGGAGTGAAGAGCTCTGTAAGCAAAGCCTTACTGCTGCCTGATTTTCCTAACAAAAAATGAAGTTATTTCTAGAAGTTAGTGAACTTGGACAAAATGCAAAGGGGCGTATTTACAGTCAGAGTCCTGCCTAACACTGACCATCTTCGTTACGAAGGAGGCTCACAGCCAGTCCCCCCTAACCGACAGATACAGCCAGTCTTCCAAGGCATGGGAAGAACAGGATAAACAGTTTAAACACTGATAACATTCATTAGAATCCACCTAGAACGCTACGTGTTACTCCTCCTCATGGATAAGGGCAGTAAATAGAACCCACCCCACCTAGCTCTCTGCAGGACACCTCACAGACCTTATTTCCAACAAATTTCCGTGAATGCTTCAAGCACAACTCCCCACAGGTTAATTTTGCTTCTTCTGACAAGCACGACATTGTACGTGTGTTTCATCAGGCATACGAAAAGCAAAAATTAAGTTTGAAACTTCAGTCTAGTGCGGACTCTGCGTTCATCCCAGAGACTTCCAAATCCCGACAAATGGAAGTTTAATTGTGAAATGGGCAATAAACTATTTTCATTGTTTCCTTTTCGAAACTATTAACTGTAGAAATAACACCGTTTGATACTGCATAGAGCGACGCTAGAGATTTTTCACAGTAGAACGTATTTGGCAAACAGGTAAGCAATTACTGCTTTTCTGTACATAATACGGTATTTTTCTAAATGGAATCAAATCGCTGCTGTCGTGATGTGTAACAAATGCTGCAGGAAGTGCTGATAAAACAAATGCTGCTGAAAAGCATATAATAAAACCCTGAAAGCCGAATGTAGTAGAATACAGCCTATTCTAAAGGAATACAAATTCTGTGTAAAAAAAACCAACAGATAGGCTCCCAGCTGGTAGAAGGTATACAAAAAAACAGTGTTTTACATTTAGAACAACGAAGATTTGTAAAGGGCGTGTGAATTTAAGCTTTCGTTTGTTTCGGCAATCCACGAAGTGCTTGAAAAACAAACATGCCAAAATAAGGAAGAGCCATGAAGCAGTTAGCACTGTCCGCGATGAAATCATCTGCTGTTCAGAGAGCGAGGCACAACCTGACCGCGGCCCACAGCGCCTTCCCAGCTCGCCGAGTGCGCGCCTGGGGAAGGACCTGGGGACAGGAATGAAGTTCGCTTTTCCCCATCAGGTCACATCTGACTTCTCCAGCCTCCTGCTGGGGTGGAGTGACTGAAGAGTCCCAGGCGTTCTCTCAAGTGCCTGCCCATCCAGGGATTTCCCCACCAACTTGATGCCACTCCTTCACAGAAGCGGAAAAGACAAGAGGAAAGCTTGCATGATGCCAGTCTACTCGAGGAGCAAAGCCACCCGCCCTCCCTAAGTACACACACAGGGTACCCAGGCGGGCTCAGCACCTCGCAGTGCCTTGCGCTCCCCACCGGCGCTCAGGGAAAGCACTGGGATTTCCTCCCCGGACAGAGGAAGTTGGCCATCAACTCATCTGCCTAGGATGCTACAGCAGCATTCATCCATCGTGCCCACCACGGAAAGCGATGACAAGGGTGCTCGCAGGACAGCACGAGAGGCTGTTGGCTGCCCACAGGGGCTGCGCTGCACAGCCCTCACCTTGCGTTACAGCGGGCCAACCACAGAAACACCAGCGCAGGGTGGTTTGCACATCATTACTCTGTATTTTTGGTTAACGTACACGCCGTGGCCTTACCTCATGTTGTAAGGTAGAAAGCCTGAGTAGGCGAGCAACCGGGAAACTTCCTGCATACAAAGGCTTTAGAAACACCTCTGTTATCCACAAAAGCTAATTGGGAAATTAAAGGGAAGGAGAAGAAAGACTATGTGAAGCACCCGGACAGAAAGAGCAGAAGTCAACTTACTGTTCTCCTATTATCAGTGTTTTAATGCTTGCTTTTACCTCAGTTTAAGAGAAGCCATGTGCAATTTCCACATCACAAACATTTATTTATTTATAAAATACTGCACATGAACAGATTATAGACGTAAATTACATGCATATACTTGCATTTACTTAGCATATCCATATGTACAGCTATTAAAAAGCCTGCTAATAAGAGAAATTCACAGTGGTTTAAGCGTACAGCCTAGTTAACAAAGAAGCTCTGTAACTAATACTCCTCTAGAGGACAATTTAGTCAGCAGGGCACCAACTCTATTCTTCTTTTATAAGTACTATCAGATCTATGATGCCTGTAAAGAACAGAGAGACCTTACTTACTGCATCTCATTCAAACCAAGGCACCTTCAAGCTACAGTGCTTCCATTTATCTTGTTGGAAAGTTGGCAGGTTAGGTAATTGCTGGGATTCTTTTAAGGGGCTGAAGTCCCCGTACCCTAAGGCATGCCTTAAATTCTGCCTCTTTTCAGAGGCTTTTTCTGGAAAGCATTCGATTCTTCCAGCAAAATGTAGCAAGCCCAGAATTACCAGCAATCCCTTGTTTCTTGTAATCTTCTTATTCTTGTCTATGGTATCGGTACGATTGTATTTTCAAATGTGGCACCAAATCTAAGAAAAAATTAAGGACATAATTTTTCTCCCTTGTCACAAATCCATATGACAGTTCTGTATTCTCTATGTCAGCTTTACACCCTGTATTATTCAGGACATCCCAGCCTGCTTTCAAAGTTCATTTCTAGATAATACTTCGATTACAAACGGAAATGTCCCTATGTAGGATTTATCTCTTTTAGCAAAGTGTTTTATCTCCAACTATCTTCACTTCTAGCCTCACCTTCCACCTATGCAACCTTTATTCTTGTCCCTCTGACAAGTACAAGAGCTAAAATGAACAGGATCACATTGTGCTTGGGATTATAATGTTATGCCTTCCTGGTGGTACGATCTTATCAGGCTGACAGGAGAGACACTCTTGAAACAGCACACCAATTTACTATTGCAACGCAGCCAGCAAGGGGTAGAAGGAAGCAAACTGCTTCTGTAGAGCCAGGAAACCCAAAGTTAGTTACAAAGAGAGCACACACACACACAAAAAACCAAACCCCCCCAAAAAATCCAAACAAACAAAAAACCCAAACAAAACCAAACACACACCCATCTATAATAGAGGAACATTAACTTACTCGAGGAATACACCTACATCCAACAAACAGCAAAAAGGTGACTACAATAACTCAGTAATACCACCACAATTTTACACAGAGTGTGACTGGATTGGAGAATTCACCATGGAGCAAAAATTCTCGCCATGAACACTTTGTGCAGTTTCCCATTTTGCTCAAGCGTGTCTCAGCAGACATAAATCAAGGTTTTACCAAAGGGATCCCTCACTAAATACCTACAGCTGAAGAACGATGAGCACCTTCTCTGAAATCGGTAAAAAGGTACAGTGTGGAGCGGGGTGCTAACTGAGATCCTACGCTGCTAAATCACACCCGAAGTTCACTGCCTGGTTACTGTAGTATGGGGCTTCTTGTCTCCAAGAAGCTCAAAAACCCTAGACTTGACCCTACCACCCATTTTGCTAGCACGGATCCCAGCCCTACACGTAGGGCACTGCAGCAAACAACCGGCTGCAGTATCAAAGCCCTGCTCATTCCATTCAGGCCTCGCCGCAGTGGTTTTATTAGGATGGAGGATGGTGTGGCTCAAAGGACGGGATCCTGCGTGAAACACCCTCCTCCTTAATGTGAATCACCGCTTTAGAAGTAAAATTATATATACACGCAAACATATTTTACATGGAAGTATGTAAATATGTATTCAAGCAGACATACACTCTGCTATTGTTTTGGAGCCATGGGGGATTATGAACAAT